CTGGGCCCTGCCAGCCTGGCGGCCCTCGCCTTTCCACTGCGTCCCCTTCAGAGCACATCCCGGACAGACAACTGTTGACACCGCTGGCATGCGCCTCACTGGCCTTTCCTGGGCCACAACACCTCCCCGAGCCTCAGTTTCCCCTCTGTGAAATGGGAATAATGATTCCCCGCGGTCACCTGAGAGCCCGCCTGCAAAGCGCAGACAGGTGGCAGGGCCAGGAGCCCCCACAGCGTCCTCGGGACACACGGGCCGGGCACGTGGAACCTAGTGTCTTGGGGGAGGCACAGAGGGTGGTCTGGGCTGGCCCTGAGGTACAGTCGCTGTGGGTCTCCACCTCGGTCTGCTCACCTGGACAGCGGGGTGACAGGAGTCCCTGCCTCTCACAACTGGCCCGAGGAGTGGCTGCACGCAAGCACATAGTGGGTCTGTCACCTCTTATCTCCCTCTGTCCTTGGCCCAGGGCCTCCCCAGACAGCAGCCCCGACCTGCCAGCAGGTGGACTATGGGTGGTGTGCATGTTGGGGTGAGATATGGAACTTCCTTGCCCCCTGGACGAGGTGGACACAACCTCTGCTTACTGCGCCCAAGGACGTGTGGCAGCTGCGGGGCTGAGGGTCTGTCAGCTCAGGGGCCCCAGGGGAGCTGTGTCCTCGCCAGCCAGCCCACTCCCCAGCCCGGCCTGCAAGGGCTGCCCAGACCCTGCAGCTAGAGCTTCCCGGGCAGGCAGGCAGGAAGCAGCCCTGTTGCCACTGCTGCTGCCCCTTGTCAGAAACAAATCCTTTCTCCAAAAGCCCCCAAAGATACCAGCGCTCCAAGGCCAGACACGGGGAGAGGGGCTCAGGGCCGCCCGAGTGCTTGAGCTTGGCAGGTCTAGGGCAGTGGTGGTGGTGGTGGTGGGGGAGACAGACAGACAGACACAGAGAAAGAGACAGAGACAGACAAGCAGACAGAGACAAAGAGACACAGAGACAGAGAGACAGAGAGAGACAAAGAGACAGCGACAGACAGAGGGGGAGAAGGAACATTCAGAAAATGAGAAACCCAGAAAGGGAGAGTTAGAAGAGAGAGCAGCGGGGCCATGACGGAGGGAAGATGGAGGACTTAGGCGGGTGTGGCAGGGGCTGGGGGTTGAGTCCCAGTAAGAGCCCAGGAACAGGTCAGACCCCCTGGCTTGGCTCGGGGACCCAGTGCTGCTCTGAGGGAGAAGCCCATGCCAGGCTGCGCCAGCCCAGGAGGGGAGGGAGCCTGCTGAGGGCAAGTGGCCTGGCTGGTCAGGGCACAGGGCAGGGCTGTGGAACCCAGGCCAGTCACGGGCAGGGAGAGGACCATACCCGGTGGGTGTTCGCATGGTGCCGGGAGGGGAAGGCTGACCTCGAATGGCTGCTCTTGCGGCTGAGGCAGACCCAGCAGGATTCAGGGGAGCCTGCTCATCCTGCTGCTGCAAGGGGACCCCTGGGGAGCTGCAGGTGAACCCCTTCATTACAGGGCCCCCAACCACATGTCCCAAAATTGGCAAGGGGGGCTATCTAATCCAGCTCCCTTTGAGGGACTGTGGGCCCAGGAGGCTGCAGTTTAGGGGCCCTTGGAGGCTGTCAGCTCACGGCAGCCCTGGCCCTGCCCAGGGCACAGCCCCGGGTCCCTGCCTGGGGGATCAGATTCCTCCTGGGCTGCGAGGCCTCCTGGCCATATAAGGCCGTCTGTGGGCACCTCTTGGAGAAGCTGCAGAGCCCTCACCCCCGCCCCGCCCCCATGGGAACCAGAGCTTGGCCAGGCCCCCAAGGACGGAGGCGGGGGAAGGGGCCTGCTGGAGCCTCGTCCAGGAGGGAGGAGGGCAGGGCAAGCCAGGCCCCCAGGGCTGGGGCTCAGGGCCCCTCCCTTTGTGCTGGGGAGCCCCCGCCCCTCACCTCTTTCCCCCAGGGCTGCCCAGTCTGGGGTACGGAGTTGGGAGGTGGTGAGGATGCGGGTGGGGGAGCCCAGGGGCCAAAGGTCAAATAAGATAAAGAATGACCCTGCAAGGGCCGCCTGGTGGCGCAGCGGTTAAGTGCGTTAAGTGCGCGCGCTCCGCTGCGGTGGCCCGGGGTTCGCAGGTTAGGATCCCGGCGCGCACAGATGCACCGCTTGTTAAGCCATGCTGTGGCAGCGTTCCATATAAAGTAGAGGAAGATGGTCACGGATGTTAGCCCAGGGTCAGTCTTCCTCAAGAAAAAAGGGGAGGATTGGCATCGGATGTTAGCCCAGGGCCAATCTTCCTCAGAAAAAAGGGGAGGATTGGCATCAGATGTTAGCTCAGGGCTAGTCCTCCTCACAAAAAAAAATTAAAAAAAAGAATGACCCTGCAGAGATGCCAGCACCCAGGGTGACCGCGATGTAAGGTGGACACATCAACTTGGTCATGGCCTCCTTCTGGGGTCACCCCATGTGCTCCCCACAGATCTGGGATCAGGAGCCCTAGACTCCCATCTTCGCACCCAGCAAGGTGCTGGGAGGGCCTGATGGGGTCCCCTCTGGAGGGAGGTGCATGGGGCTGGGGTCCAAAAACCAACTTCATTACTGGACCAGCTCCTTCTTCTGCTCTCCCAGGCAATCACACTAACAATGATGCTGGAGATAGCTGGATCTCCAGGGAGGTCCAGGCCCCTCCCCAGTTCCCAGGGCCCTTGCCCTGTCCAGCCCCGCCTCTGAGGCTGAGGCCGGCCATTTGTTGCTGAGGCTTGTCCCTCAAGCCAAGGGCTGGGTCCAGGGAGGGTCCTGTAGCGAGCCAGTATGGGGGGTGATATCTTTCAAGGATGCAGACACCTGTGCCCATCACAAACAGCAGCCCCTCCCTCCACCCCCCACAGCTGGGGCTGCTTCTGCCAGGCGAGCCCCTCCTTCCAGCTCACAGGCCCCAGGCTGGAAAGGGCACCGGAGGGGACTGGAATGGGCCATTGGGGCAGAGCAATGAGGGGTTCTTCCTGGGGACCCCAGGCTTCTTCTAAACACCCCTCAAAGTCACAGCTTGGCCGGGCTAGGGGAGGTGAATCCTAGAGGCCGTCCCCTCATGCAGTGGGCACGCTCTGGTCACCCACTCTTTGCCAGGCCTGGAGATATGGCAGGGCGGCCAGGTAGGACACAGCTCGGATTTAACTTAATAAAATGAAATCAGACCAAATGAACACCTGCTGGCTCTCTGGGGGTGGTCCCTGGGGGGTCCCAGACCTGAGGTGGGGAGAGAGGGAGGTGGCCAAAGGGGCAAGGGCTCTATTGTGTCCCGGGTGGAGGTAACAAGGCCAAAGTCCCGAGTGAGAGAGAGAGGGGAGGGCTGGAGGATCTGTGGGGCCTGGACTGACGGGCATAGCTGGGAGGCACCTGGCTCTGTGGGGCCTGGTGGGCTGCAGTGAGGGGTCTGGCATTTATCCTAAGACAAGCAGAGCCCCTGTTTGAGGCTTGTGTGCCAGCCCAGAGCCCAGCACCCAGCAGGCACTTGGCACCTGGAGCTGTTATCGTAAGTGTTCCTGTCCACAAGGGACAGCCTCTGACAACGGTGACCATTCCGATTCCTTCTTGCTAGTAGCACACTTCACAAGCCAGGTGTCCCAATGTCAGCCCGGGAGGGGGTTCTCCTACACTCAGCTGGAGAGACTGAGGCTACGGGTGGGGGCGTCCAAGCTGGACCCAGGACTCTGCACATTGAGGTCATGCTGACCACCCCATGGTGCATCACGGAGCCTCATATTTCTGAGCATCCTGGGTTCATGTGCTTTTTATAGGGCTAGGCCCGCCTGCCCAGGGCACCAGTTGGGAAGAAGGCAAACCAAGTTGGAGGAGACCTTTGGGGAGAGCCCAGGACCTGGTGGGCTGGCCAGCCCAGGTCTCCCAGGCCCTGGGCACACCTAAGCCTCTCTGCCCGCTCTGGCGTGCAGACCACCCCCATCAGGCCACTCGAGGGTCAGGCATGTGGTGGGCACAGCCTGTGATTTGGGCATGCAGCAGGCAGAGGTGGACCCTCCTGCAACTCCGGGGTCAGAAGGCTCCCAGAGGAGACGCCCTGGCTGGGCAGCGCACGGGTCAGAACTGTCTGTTCCTGGTTGGGGTCAACCCAGAGCCACGCGCCCTGGAGGCCGGGAAGAGCCCTGCGGTAGTCCAGCTGGGGCTGCAGGCAGGAGGAGAAGGGACCACTTCTTTCAGAGCAGCGACAAGGGCCTGTCCCCAGACCCTCCTCCAGCCAGAAATGCCAGGGGTCTCACCTGGCCCCATCCTTCTGAGGGCAGCAGCCCACGGCCCTTGGGGGTTGGAGACAGGAGGCAGCCCAGGAGGGGAAGGGTGCTCCTGGCCTGGGGGAGGGGTCCAGCTGCTGCTCTGGGCCTCCTGCCAGTCCTCAGGCCCTGGGCCCCCATTCCTTGAGGCCTGTCCTCTGCCCCTGGCCTCCAGTCCCGCAGGCTCTCAGGCGCTGGGCTGGCTCCTGCAGTGGACTGTGCCAGCCAAGGGCCATGGGACTGCTCCAGGCAGAGCAATGGCAAGGGAGGCCGGGAACTCTGCCTTGTCCTGCTGAGCTCGCAACCTCCCAGGGAGGCCTTCTCCCAGCTGGTGTGCGTCCTCCTCCCATAGGACGGGGCTCCACCACTGCTGACAGTGGCCACAACGATCAGGGCTGCTGCCTGCTCCCGGCGTCTCTGCCCCACGGCCAGTGTAGACATTCTTGCCAGCTGGGTTCCTGGAAGGGTATCAGAGCAGCCCTGAGAAAGGGCGTGTGGCCTCCACTATTCCAAACCACCGCGCTAGCTTCTCCCCAAACCCTCTTCCTGCCGAGACAAACATTCCCCGTCCTGGAGCAGAGAGCCACACACCTCACTTGCCGGCGGCTGGAGCCGCAGGCCCCTCCTCCTCACACAGCGCTGCACGGATCTGCTTCGACTCTGCAGCTTCTCCCCAGGGTGCAGGGCCCAGTGGGAGAGCTGGGAGCTGGGCTCTGGGGACAGGACGTCCAGCACAGTCATCTGTTACTGATTGTGACCGCAATGACGAGGCCTGAGTGTGGAGCGAGTGGGCGCCCTGTGCAGCTGCTTCCCCGAGAGGCCCCGAGTTTATGGCTCAGGCTGAGTCAGGTGTGCCCATGGCCTGGCCTGCCGGTCCCCACAGCTGCCGCGCAGATGGGGCCGGGCAGGGGGCTCCTGGGGATACCACTGGAGTGGGGGTAGAGGCTCAGTTAAGGCGGCTGTCCTGAGGACCATATCCCATGGCTGAGGGGGAATCTGCTGGCCTCCCACCCAGGGCCAGGAGCATCCCTTCCCAGCTCGGTCTGCCAACCACCTCCGACCTCCCACAGGTCCCAGAGCCCCTGTTACCTGGGACTGGGTGAAGAGGGGCTCTGGGGCTGGGGTCATCCCATGGGGGCGTGGCCTGAACCTGGTAGGATGGAGGACCAGCTGCCTCTGTGCCCCTCCCTTAGGCAAGCTGACTCCTTCGACCCACCCCGCACTCCCCAGGACTGGGGGTCCCTCTCCTGTGGATTCAGGACAGAACCTGGGGCTGCCTGACAAACCAGGGAGGGGGGCACTACATTAGGGACTGGTGCCCAATGAATGTGGGGGAGAAAATGAATGACTGACCAACCCTCTCCCCTTTGCTAACCGTGTGCTCTTGACTGACCCTTGGACCTTTTGGCCTCAGTTTCCCCATTTGTAAGTAGGAAAGGGGGCTGGGTGGCCACAGGACACACACTCGCTGGGCCGGTTGGGGATGACTTGCTGGTTATGTGACCTGGGCAGCAGGGGTGGAGGGGGGCAGAGATGGGTCTTCCTTCCCCTGCCCTGCCCCTCTCCCCTCCAGAGCCCCCCCAAGAGGCCTGCATGTAGCCTGCTGGGACAACACCTCCATCCTCACGCTGCCCCAGCTCCTGCCCCAGCCGAGGCTCCTCAGCCGGCACAGGTTGGGGCAGAGGGTAGGCAGCTCCTTTCACCACATTTTCCTCTGCCCACTTCACCCCACCCCTCTCCTGGCCACCAGTTGCTCCCGGGGCAGCTGTCTGCCGGGAAGCAGCTAGCCCAGGATTAACCCTCCCTGTGCTGGGTGCTCCGGCTGACTCAGCGCATTCTTGGAGAGCCGCCCCTCCCTCCTGCCTGCTCTATGCCCTCTGAAGGCAAAGGCCTGGCCGCTACGGGGCTCAGAGGGCTCCCCCCACCTCTGCCGGCTGGCCCCTCCAGGGGTATCGGGAAGCAGACCTTTGGGGTGGTGGGAAGGTTCCCAGTCTCCAGCCTCCAGGCCGCCAGGGACCAGAGTGCACTGCTGTGATGTGCGTGATGGGGGAGGGGGGGGACCTCTGGGCAGGAGGGAGGGCGGGGCGGGGGCAGGTCAAATCCCCCATCTGGGAACCCTGCTACTGCCCAGAGGCGGCTCTCCGTCTTTCCCTAGCAAGGGATCCAAGGGATCGTAAATTAGCTCCCGAGCTGGCCTGTCTGCACCAGCCCCGGGGTTCCTCCCCGTCTCCCGCCCACCCTCTGGGCCGGCCCCTCCCCCACTCGGATCTTCTGCAAAGGGAACCGCCTCTTGTCACCCTCCTCCAGGTGGAAGAACTAAAAGTGAAGTTACAGAATTACGGAGGAGGGAAGGGAGGGAGGGTCATCCCCACTGCCTATTTCCCAACTTGGAAGAGAAGGGGCCGCCCAGCCCCTTGGGAGTCAGGATTTGCAGGAGGCCAGGGGCAGCCTGGAAGATGTGGATGGTGGGGAAACCTTCCGGGAAGAGCTGCTGGTGCAGGACCCCGGCCAGGACCAGCTGGCCGTCGCTCCACGCACTTACCCAGCACCCCAGGACTGTCCAGGGGGTCCCACGTGGAACAGACACCCGTGCTGGCCTGGCTCAGAGAATGGGGGATCTGCCAGCCCGGCAGCTGCAGCCCCACTCCCACCCCCTCGGGGCTTCCCTGGAGGCTGATTTGGGCCAGGAGCCCAAAGGGAGGAGGCCCCGTAGCCACAGCCACCCAAATGCAGAAACAGCTGGGACACAGCCCTGAGCTCAGGCCTCTAGGTCCTGTCCCATTTCCCGGGTGTCCTCGCGTGCCTGCCCTGAGCAGGGGAGTGGCCCTGAGCGGGGGGCGGGGAGGGGGTTCCGGCGACAGACGAAGTTGGTGGAGTCCATAGTCCCCAAAGCACAGGCACCCGTGGCACTAGGGCAAGCTCACACCCGCCCCCACCCCCCAGCAGATGTCCTCCCTCATGGCCAATCCTCCTGGCACCCACCGGGCTACGGGGACTAGGGCAGGCTCACACCAGCCCCCCCCCCCCCCGCCCCCAGCCGATGTCCTCCCTCATGGCCAATCCTCCTGTCACCCACTGGGCTATGAGCACCCTCCCCTTGCCCCAGGGGGCCCCATGGTTGAGCACCTGGGTCCAGTCCCTCCTGATCCATTTCCCTATTTTAGAGTACTTTTAAACCAAACCTGGGCAGTTCGGAGCCAGGCGGGGTTGATTCTCCCGGTTGCCCCAGGAAAGTATGGGGTCCCCAATCGGGGTCTCCCTGTCCCTCTGCAGGTCCCATTCCCTCCAGGGCCCCCACCCACACCACCCACTGCTGGCAGAGTGCACCTTCGCACACACCTGTAGGATGGGGCAGATATGAGAGGGCAGTATTAGGAGAGAAAACCCAAAAACTGGCTGGGGAGAGGAGGTGAGGCTGCGCCGGGTCTCCGGAGGTCACTCCCTCAAGCCCGGGGGACCCAAGCGTCCAGGCTCCCCAGCAGCGGCCGCTCGGGACGCTGGCCCGGTCCTGGGACTGCGGATACGGACGCGCTGGGCGGTTGACCGGGCAGATGCCGGGGCTGGACCCGGGGCGAGCGTGCCGGACTCCGGCCGCTGCGCGTGCGCCCGGGCCGCCGGGGGCGCTCGGCCGCCGCGAGGTGCCCGAAGTTAGAGAAACAAAGAGCGGAGCCGCTAGGCTGGGAAGAGCGGGCCCAGCGCGCCGGTGCCGGGGGCCGGGGGCTCTTGGGGGCGCGACGGTCCCCCCGGGACGGGGAGCCACGCCCTGGGGGGCCCGGCG